TGTCATAGTGGTTCGATAAACTGAAGACCGACTTTGTGTTAGTGGGGGCCCCTCTTTTAATCATTAAGCATATAGACATATATATTTTATATATATTTTTACATAAATTTGATAAATGAAAAAAATGAAATTTAGACAAAAATTAAAAATTTAACATTTAAAATTTATTTCTAGTGCTTAGCTAAATAAGAATAATTCATAACATTTTTATTAAATTATACAATATACTCAAAATTATTGTATTTACAATTCTAGCTTAGTTTTTGAGAATATTTCTAACTCTTCAATTTAACTTTGAAGAGTTAAATTGAAGAGTTCAAAAAGAGTTCAATTGGCTTTTCGAATTCTTTATTATTATCTGCTTTATTTTTTGTGTAACTATACATTTTTTTTTTTTCTTTTTGAAACAAACGGTTAACTATCTCATCAACAAAATACTTATGTAATGGGCAAAAAAAGTGTTGTTAAATAGTGAAATCTAAGTATTATTTTTTGATACAAGTTTTAGCATTGGACTTGGAATAACTTTCGTGAAATCTAATAGATATTTTTTTTTTTTTCAAAAGTTGCAAGGGAAACAAATATTAAATATTTAAGAAACTAAAATGTACATTGATTGAAAATTGTAATAAATAGTGATACAAAAAGGACACCCGTAATGAAATTCTGGTTCCGTTACTTTGACAGACAACTCAGTAGTTTTTTCTTAATTAAAAAACATACTAAATGTTTGAAATAATTGTTTACACTCAGTTCTGTATTTATTTTTTCGACATAATTCTTTCTATCATTCACTTCGTCATTTTAAAATTAGAGAGTTGAATTTGCTTTCATGACTTGTTGGAATCAATGCAACAAGTCACTCGTGCATATTCTAAATTAACTTTTATCAAACATCACAATTACTCAGTCCCCTAATTGATCTAATTAAGGAGTCCATATTTCTTATGTGTTGACTTAATTTTAACCCTCATATAATATGCGAAGTTACTTGTTTTTCTATCAACTCTGCATTAATAAAAGGAAAAAAAAATGTTTATAAATCATTGTCAAGAGTATGACATGCATGATCACTAGCTTCCACCACTAGAAAAGAAATATTTTGCCACTATAATTCAATAATTGTGACTAAAAAAACATGCATGCAAATATTTTTTAATCATTGACAAGTGCGTTTTTTATACTTTATTTGTGGCAAAAAGTTTATTTATATTGTTATTTGTCATGATTTTTTTAACGATTGTTTTTATTTTCAAAATGCCATGATATGCTTTAGCTTAAACTTATAATTCTGTCACTTATAATTATTGCTAATAGTTAGAATAAGGAAAAAAAAGTCGTTTTTAAATAGTGAGCTCGCATCTCAATTCTTAATGCAATTAAATGGTTTTATTAGGCAGTGAGCCCACCTCAATTTGTTAATGCAATTAAATGGTTTCTATATAAGTAGCATGCCAATTAATTTCATTAATTGCGTATCATGTAGGCCTTATTTATGTTAATAACAAAAGATAATTTAGTTAGTATACTTGAGATATTAGAGAAGAGTCCAAATTAAATATCATCAAGTGTGAAAAAGAAGAAAATAGTCATCAAACACAAATGCATGACTTAGTCAACTTTGCAAATGTCGCGTAAGTCAAATTCTAAGAGATGTGAGATTTAAAGATATGGGACAATCTTGTCGGCAGCAAAGCTTGTGTATTTCAATATTTGACTTTCAATTTGCAAATTGGCGAACAAACAAGTGAGCCTTTTCAAATATATCCAAGAATACAAAGAAAATGTATTTATACATTGGTTGGTAAATTCAATGCTATTTTTATAGTTACTTAGTTAGTGTCCACATAAAGTTAATTATTGTTGGACCATACACAATTATATACATAATTTACCTCATTGCACACTTGGAAAAGATATCATATATCAATATTTCATTCTGCTGAATGATTGATACATAATAATTGTAACATCATCATATACTCACGTTGATTTCATAAGAAAAAATCAGAATTTATATGTAAATTTTATCAAGATAAAAAATAATACTCCAATATATGTTCAATTCTAGATAAATACACCCAAGACAAATAGAAAATCCAACTAAGATTTAATAAAAACTGACTACAAGAATGTCAAATCTATGGAAGGAATCCAATACAAATCGGGTGTTATTTTTCAATCCTTCATGGATTAGGAATCTTGATTAAAGTTTGAAAGGAATTTTAGTAGGTAAGTTTTAGTGAGACTAAGTTTTGGGAACAAAAACAACTATCGCACTCCAGTTCATGGTAAATATTTTCAACTCACCAGATTTAAGTTTACCAGGGAATTAACAAATAAATATAATAAAAATTTGGAGACTCACATGTCCGGCCAACAATTTGGCCCGTAAATTTGGGTGGACCAATTTTTGGGAGCAATACTTTTTGACGAGTCCAAAAACTCGCGAATNATAAAAAAAGTTAAATCATGACCACACATCTTCATCTCTAATTAAAGGCATAGATTGAGTCTTACATGTTCACTGTAAGTATTTAGACTCATTGGAACAAATATATTAACCGATTTGAACCAAATATGTACGCTATGTCGACAAATATTTGACATTACAGTCCCCGTCATCAAATATTTCACAATTACAACCCCATCTTCCAGAATATCATAGATACGCGGAGCAATTATTCGTAAGTTTTTCAATTTTTCTCTAACACCACCCCCAACAATGGCAGACAAACCACCCAACCACAACTCAAGAGCAAAAAGCAAAAGCTCTCTCAACTACCTAAAAAAATTAGATTAAATACCTCATTTGTTTATTTATTTTCACTTCCTAAAAATAAAAATTCTCTCAACTTATAATACATACGCACACCTAAGTCCAAATAATAATATTAATATATGATAAATATAACATGACAACAAAATAATATAATTAGTATTTAAAACAATAAAAAGTTGCTACTGTCTAGCTGCTTGACCCATTTTTTTAGCCGATTCGTACAAATCGTAGACGGTCCAGCGACGCTGCTTCATAGTCAAATAGTTATTTCCTAAATCCTAAATCCTATTCCCCGAGAGAGAGCACACGTATTAGAAGCAAATTCGAACACTTAGCGTGAACAACCTGACAACTTTTGTTTTTACATGACTAACTTCAGTATGTTTGGGTTGTGCAGGTATTCATCTCAACTTTGGATAATTGCGACGAACGAAATCCTTATCTAAACAGAACAACGGGAATCAAATTGCCAACAACCTAAGCTTAATTTAACAACATTTTTATTGATAATTCAAATATTTTGTATAAAATGTTTAACTATGTTTTTGAAAATAAACATTAATTTCCATTTATAATCATGCTACATAAATATGGATCATTTTCAAAAAAAAAAAAAGAAAGAAATTAATTCCCAACCAAAAATAAGGAAAAAATAATCCAAGAACAGTAAAATAAATTAAATTAAATTATTTCCTCCTTCTCGATTCCTTCTCCACCGTCGTTCGACCTTTTCTTCGGATTCCACCTACTCACAACCCTCTCCTCGACAATATAATCGTCCAAACGTGAAATACAAAGCCCGTCATTTCCTTTCCTTCTCCTCACGTGTAGGACCAGCAAAGTTTTTACCACCCCACCACACAACCGGAGGGTGCAATGTAAATCCGACCAAGAATTTAACCGCTTGTTTTTACTACTTTCACCCTCATCAGACAAAACAATAACAGCATACTCAGCATGAACCAGGGATGGATGGTGCCTGTAAGCAACAAAGTCAACTCCGTACTGAGAACCCGATTTGACCAACCAATTTTTCATTCGGAGGTGGGAATACGCTTTGAACAAAACCGGGAAATTAGACTTGTTGGACAACATCAAGTGACGCCATAATTCTTCGTCATTTGCAGATTTATTATTTTCCCTCACGAGTTTCATGCATTTTAAAATGGAGCTCAAGTAGATAGCTTCCTCTAGACTTAGTTGGAACCATTGCTTATCTTTATTGTTTTCTGCAGAAATAATGGGCCGGCCAAAGCATGTTCGGAGGAGAAGTTCGGTTTGGTCGGTTGTTGCTGCAAAGAGCACGCTACAGCCTAAGAGAAGCCCTTGGGAATTTGACTCGGTTAAGGAGGTT